GTGGACGCCGACGACGCTGGTGACAAGCAGAACAGGACGAGCACAGGTGGCTACGTGTTTGTCTACGGAGGGGCTGCAGTTTCCTGGTCAAGCCAACGCATCAAGTGCACGACGTTGTCGTCGACCGAGTCGGAGTACATGGCAGCCACTGAAGCTGGCAAGGAGGGACGCCGCCTTCGCTTCCTCCTCGCAGAATTCCAGCAACTGGACCCCGGGAAGCCGAATGTCCTGCACGTGGACAACAAGTCGGCCATCACGGTCGCCGTTGGCATGGGGTTGACAAGCAACCTCAAGCACATGGAGCGGCAATAGGCCTGGCTGAAGCACATGGTGAGGCGCGGGAAATTCTCGCTGCAGTACATCCCAACCGCTGAGCAGCCGGCCAACTTCCTGACGAAGGCACTGCACTATCCGGCCTTCAACCGGTGTTCCGTTGCAATCGGCCAGGTGCGCTTGGCAGACGTGGGCGACGGCGACAACGACGTGCAGCAGTAGGTGCCATGCCCTTTTGCATGGCTGGTGCGGTGGACGACGTGCTATGTGTTGGGTGCACGTCGACGAGCTAGTCTCCGAGCTGTACTGCCGTGTGGGCTGGGTGCCCCAGCATGAACGCGGCAGGGGAGTGTCAACGGGAGTTGGGTGTTGGCCCCGTCCTCGCTTGGGCGGAGCCGACTTCGTGGTCGGGTGTGAGGGTAGCAGCCGACCTGCAGCAGTGGGTGAGCTGGTCGACGAGGAGGTCGACCTGCACGGGGGACCACTACACGGGCGCTGACTTCAGGGTGGCGCCGACTTCAGGGAGGTCGACTTGGGAGTCGACCTGCGGAGGACGTCAAGCCGACTTCGGGAGTCGGCTAACGGACCGCTGGTTGACCTGCGGGTGGTCGACTGGACCTGGTGGTCGACGAAGGAGGGACCGACGTCGACCTTGACGCAGGACGCCGAGCAGTCGGGCGTCGAGTAGCGGGGCGTCAACTTCGTGACGCCAGCCTCGAGTGGCCGACGTGGATGGTCGGCCGACGACTGTGCTGGTCAACGTGGAGCTGGTCAACCAGAGGGGACATCGACCTGGAGGAGGTCGACCGATGGTGTCGTCGACCTGGTTAGGTCGACGTGGAGATGGTCGTCGACTTGGGAGGTCGACGGGCACGTACGGGAGCTGTTGGTCAACGTGGTTGCCTGGTCGACCAGGTTACCTGGGTGACGAAGTGCTGCGGAGGAGTGCGACGGTCGCCCAGGCGAAGTTGGCGAGCCCGACCTCGGTGGTGGTATCCCGAGGTCAACGTGGCCGATCAGAGGCAGTCGTCAGCTCGAGGTTGACGTGGTGTTGTGCGCTGTGTAGGTGAGGAGGCTCTGCACGCCAATCACCTGCACGCAACTGCGAAGCAGGGTGCACTGCTGTCTTGCGTGAGCAACGCTGTCATGCCGTCAACCTGTGACGTTGGCACGCAGTCGACCTTGCCTTGCTGGAGCGCGGTCGACCAAGTCGTGCTGGAACGCGGTCGACCAAGCTGCGCTGGCAGTTGGCCGACCTGAATGCTTGCTCTGATGTAGTCTTGCTATGCCAACTTCATTGTACCAATTGTTCTGAACTTTTCCTAGTGGAACTCTTGCCAACTTTCCCCGTGAACTAGCAAGTAGTGTGCGCACAAGGAAAACGACTAAGGAACAGAGAACGCAGAGATCACACGAGCACACGTGCCTAGCCCGTAGTCTAACTCCCGTTGCTGCAGTTATCTCCGCATTAAAGGGCTTGTTTCAGTAGCGGGTCAGTGCGCCCACAACCCCCCCGGCAAACGCGCCTGTAACCCCCCCTAGGATCGATCGGGGATCTCACGGTGTAGCTCTACTGACACCCCCCCACACTGGGAGGCCCAAAACTGAGCACAGTGGCAACAGCCAACATGTGCATACACCGGGATTCGAACCCAAGACCGCTCTGGTAGCATGTCACTGGGATAAAAGGGCTTGTTTCAGTAGTGGGTCTGTGCGCCCATAACCCTCCGTCAAACGCGCCTGTAACCCCCCCTTGGATCGATCGGGCATCTCACAGTGTAGCTCTACTGACACGAATTTATATATGCATGCACATGTATATATTTGTGCATATATATAAATGCGAATATATGTATATATGTTACCTTTAAAAAATCCCTCATAGATACAACACACATTACAGGTTGGATTCACATTTTCCTACATGAATGGTAACCACAGTTTTCACATACAAAACACTCATGGACCCCACACTAATTAGGTTGTTTGGTGCTTGTGGTCCGAAATTGTGTGTATTAGTGACTATTTGTGTTGTTATTCTTCTGTTTGCAGGATTATGCTCAAGACGAAAATGTGTTGTAAACGGGTAGAACTCTGGCTGAATATATGTCTACTATGTGAATGTCGTGACACTGTTGCGACTAAACAGCAGCACTCACATTTGTCGAGCTGGCACTCATCATCGCTAAAATCGCGGTGCGCCAGGTGCTTTATGCTTCACCGACGTCGCCAACGCACATCCAGATTCCAGCACGAGTCCACCCAATTGCTCCCAACAAATGACATTCGTCTGTATAATGTGCGTCAGCACATTTTTTGCATCGCGTGAGGTTACTGTCGCCACTTCACCAAAAGGCCCACATCCTACTGGTCCGCGTGATGCGCTGGTGCCAGCCTCAACAAAAAACCCCCGTCCAACTGGTCTGAATGATCCGATGGTGACAGCGGTGGTTGTTTGCAAGTTTTTGTTTGAAGTTTTCATTAGTTTCTGATCGACACACGATGGGTTTGTCTTGCTATTTAATGGAATCCAAACGGTACACACGCTGCATTAGGTTTCACGTCAGTTTTTTTTTCCGATTACTTTTTCGTTTTGTCTACCTGCAGCCAACTCCACTCCCTCCCCCATTCCCCATTCTCCACTCCACTCCCTCCCCTTTCTCCTCAAAGCCCAAGAACACTCCTCCCCCACCTTACTTTCTATCGCGTGCCTGTTCTTTTTAGCAGGCTGCCTGCCGGCCAATTTTTCCAGCTCTGAGAATGTGTATGGCTCACTCGTTCAAAGTTCACCCCGTTCCTTAGCTTCGTCGACTCCAGAATGACGCACTCCATTGACGCTCTTTCTTGCCCCCCTTCAGCAAATTCCTGTCCGCCCCGACTGAAGCACCCCGTCGACGCTCCGAGAAGCACGCGACGACGAACTGGGTCACGTGCTGCATCGACCGACAGACGCCTTTCCACTCCTGCCACAATCATTTTACACTATTCAGCTTCTTCTGGTTTCTGCTTTGTCTGGTTTCCGCTTTTGTTCCTTGTTTCTAGCCCATATGTCGTGTATGCACGGTACAATGTTCGTTTTGGATGCCTTACTTACGGTTGTCAGTTTATATTACGATTTTGTTCTTTACTGGATTTTTTTTTTTTGGCATTTGTACAGGCCCTGGAGATGGAACGCCGATATAGAAATTCTGCCAGAGCATGGTAGGGTTATCCCCACCCGCTTCCTCTGCATGTGACTCTGGTAGTTACCCAGTCACGCAGTCAGTTACTCTTGACTGGTTAGGCGTCTGCTTCTTGGATGTTCTTTTGCAGGTTGCTTATTATTCAATCAGCCTCTGTTAGGCGTCTGGTACTTGGATGTTCTTTTGCAGGTAACTACTCTGGTAGTTACCCAGTCACGCAGTCAGTTACTCTTGACCGGTTAGGCGTCTGCTTCTTGGATGTTCTTTTGCAGGTTGCTTATTATTCAATCAGCCTCTGTAAAGATTATGGGGAAGGTGTAATTAAGGTTTTCATTTTTTATTGTTATCTGACTGTCATCTCTCTTGTTGTGCAGCACTTTTCAAAGTTAGTATTTTCCCTAGGCATCGTGGAAGTAACAGCCAGCTACTTCTGCCGTGTTTTGCATTTGTTTTTTTCTCGTGGATGTTTTGCAGGTAGCTTATTTTTCACCCAAAGGCTGTGAAAGAGTTTGGTTGAAGCTGTAAGCAAACTCTCCAATTTTGCTTCTGTTTTTGTTCTCTGACGTTGCTCTTATTGTGCATCTCCTAGTTCCGTATTGACCCCTAGGTGTCGTGGATGTAACAAGAAGCTAGTTCCTTAAGATGCTTGTTTACGATTTTTGTGTTATGTGAATCAAGTGTTGTGTGTACATCTTTTCATTGTGATGGTGATTTGAAACGTGCCAATAAAAAGCATAATGAAAAACATGAATAGCATGGCTGATTTATAAAAATTGTGTTTTGTACTGAAATTATTTTATACGTTTCAACTACCAATGTATTAGAGACTTTTCTTAACCCTGCATATTTTCTGCAAGTGTTACTACTACGAGGTAGCTCGGTAACATTTGAACGTTTTATCATAATTATACAAGCTTTTTTCAGAATCACTGTACCGAATTGTAACCAATTCGTAACCGAGAAACATAACTGCTGGCATAACTTTCAAGCAAGCTTGCTATCGTTTTCGTTTTAGATTGTTAGACAAATCCGATTGGCTTGCGACTGTTAGTATGATCAGAAAGCCGCGAATAGGTGCAAGACACGTATCCTGGATTGTTCTCGTCATGTTCGTAGCTACCCGGGAGTAGCTTCGAGAATCTGGCGATGTGCGGTCCATATTAAATTTCAATGTTGTGTACAAGCAAAACCACAATGAGAGTTACGCCGAAGTAGCTTCATCTCCTTCAAGATGTGCGGCACAGATTCGTCGCAATTTTTTCCTTGTAATGTCGCAAGCCCAACAGCAGCTTCAACGTAACCTTGCCAGCAACCCCAAGGTAGCACCCTCCAAACCAACCACAGAGCTACCGCAAAGTTGCTTTGCCGTAGCTTTCATAAGCCCTATTTTTTGTGATGAAGGAGGGGAGGGCGGTGGGGTTCGCAGTGCAGTCGGTGGCAACAGACCACACGACGTTTGCATTGCAGTGACTGCGGATCACAGGGTCAGGCATCGTGCTCGTCTGCGACAACCAGCACAGGCAACTAGGCCGCCCGGCGCCCCCTATGGACGGCACCCCTGCGCCAGTGCAGTGGCTGGAGCACCTGGAGGTGCTGCTGGTGGTGGCGGGGTTGCAGCAGGGCCTGTTGCTGTGCCGCGTACTGCAGGGCTCCGAGGCTGCTCTGGAGCCCCAGGAGTTTGACGACACAGGCGTGCTCAATGAGGAGCGTGTGTTGCCCGCATCGCTGCCTGATCCCGATGCTTCTCCTCCTGCTGCTGATGTTCTTGGTGCTGCTGGTGCTGTTGTTGGTGCTTGCGGTGTGGGAACAGGGTTGGGTGCAGCAGGGGAAGCGGCAGGAGCTATAGCCGGGGGCGGGGGAGGAAGTGCGGGGGAGAAGTGGCCGGAGAGAGTTGGGGGAGGGGCGTCAGCGGAGGAGCAGGGGGGCACGGGGGGGGAGAGGACAGTGGCGCGGGACATGTGGATGACGTTTGGGGAGGAGTTCAAGATGCTGCCCCGGCAGGGCATGGACAGCAGCATGTGGAACTCGTGATGGCGCGTGCAGGCAGGGAGTGCGGTGGGGAGTGCGGGGAGTGCGGGCAATGAGGGAGGGGCAGGAGCTGAGGTGCACTACCTGCCGTACTTCTGTCAAACACTATATGTGTTATTATTGTGTAGGCTATAGTGGGTTAGCCTTTAGGGGGTACACAAAGTTAGGGTTTCCTACTTGTACTCCAACTTTCATAGTGCAATCACTTCTTCTTTGTAACATGAAATCAGAGCAGGTCCTCCGCTAGGACTGATTCTTAGGGCCCACCACTACTGCTGCTTACTAGCGCCATCGTGCGCCACACTGTCGGAGCGCCCTCGAGCGCCCCCCCCCCCCCTAGCGCCCTTGTGCGCCTCGTTTTCACGCCCCCCTAAGGCCCCGCGACCTGCGACCCGCCCCCCTTAGCGACCCGCGCGCCGCCCCTTAGAGGCCCCGTCGACCCCGCGCGCTGCCCCTTAGAGGCCCCGTCGACCCCGCGCGCCGCCCCTTAGAGGCCCCACTTGCCCCGCTAAGAGGCCCTGTCGGCCCCCTAGGCCCCGAGCGCGCCCACCCCTTAGCGGCCCTGTCGGCCCCATCGACCCCACGTGCCGCCCCTTAGCGGCCTCGCTGGCCCCGTCGACCCCGCGCGGCGCCCCCTTAGAGGCCTTAGCAGGCCCCGTCGACCCCACGCGCCGCCCCTTAGCGGTCCCACTGGCCTCGTCGACCCCGCGCGCGAACCCCTTAGAGACCCTGTCGACCCTGTTTGCCCCGCGCGCCCACCCCTTAGCGGCCCCGTCGGCCCCCCCCTCGACCAACGCGCCGCCCCTTAGCACCCCGCCGCGACACCCACGGCCCCGCCAGAACGAGCCGCCCAAACCGAGCCACCCAGCCCGAACCTAGCCGCCCAGCCCGAACCGAGCCGCGCCGCCCGAACCCAGCCGCGCCGCCCTACCCGAGCCGAGCCGCCTTGCCTGAACCGAGCCGCGCCGCCTATACTGGACCAAGCCGCCCTACCTGAGTCGCACTGCCTACTGTTTTGAGGGTGCAGCTACTGCTACCACTGCTACTTTACTCCTACTCCTACTACTGCTATGGCTAGCCCTCCTGTGCTAGCTTTCGATGCTGAGGGCCGCCCAGTAAAGTTCAAAACCTGGCTAGATGACCTACACCTCTTCCTACAGCTCACTGCCAAGGAGGACATCTCACTGTACGATCACGCCCTAGGCCATGCTACTGCTCCTGCTGCTACTGCTGACAGCACTGCCGGCTCACAGTGGCAGACTCGTGACGCCCAGGCTCGCTTCACTATTCGCAACTCCCTGCCGATAGATGAGAGCGAGCACTTTGGCTAGCACAAGACTGCACAGGCACTGTACACCGCTGTCATTGCCCGCTACTCCTCACCTTCCTCTGCCGCGCTAGGTCGTCTCTCACTCCCCTACCTGTTTCCCGACCTGGCCTCGTTCCACACAATCGCTGACCTCATCACGCACCTCCGTACTAGTGAGGCCCGCTTCCGTGCCGCCATGCCTGACGAGTTCCTTGCCAAGAACCCTCCCCCGCTCTAGCTCACTCTCTACCACCTAGTCATCCGCCTCCTTGACACTCTACGTGCAGTCAGGGATCACTTCCTAGCTCCCTGCCCCACTGAGCTCACCATTGCCCTCATCAAGAAGGAACTGTAGGGGAACACCTTGCAGCTAAGGCTAGCAAAGTCGCTGTAGGTGCCTCTCGTGGCGACCCCCGCATCCCTTTCTTTGAGGGGTGTTCCCCTTCCCCCCTTCTTCCCTCTGTAGCCTCTACTTATGCTGTCGACCTCCTTGGTTCTGAGAAGTTCGGGGCTGCATCTGCTTCGAGCGGACGCCGCAGTGGCAAGGGCAAAGGGGGCAAGGGAGGCGGAGGTGACGGCAGGGGAGGCGGTGGTGGGGGTGGTGGCGGCGGTGGGGGTGGTGGTGGGACTGGGGGGGCTAGAGGCAGCGGTGGGGGTGGTGGCGGCAGCGGCGGGGGAGGTGGCAGGGGCGGGGGCGATGGTGGGGACGGCGGTGGGCGCGGCGGTGGCAAGGGAGGAGGTGGTCGAGGAGGTGGCGGCGGTGGTGGTGGTCGTGGAGGCACTGGCGGTGGCCGGAGCCTGCAGCACTCTCCGTTGCCCCACTAGCTCCGTGAGTGGTACGCTCAGCACGGGGGGGGGGGGGTGGGTGGCCTTAACTGCACGTGCGTCATTCGCACTGGTGACCGCATTGGTCACACGTGTGGAAGGGCGCACCCCACGCAGCGCTGCTTCTCACGCCTTGACGACGCTTGGCGTACTCAGTTCCCTGACGCTTCTCACCCCATTGAGCTGCCCCGCTGGGCTGATCTGATGAAGCAAAACATTGATATCTTTGCTCTAGACTTTGATGCTATTCTCTCTGCCATGTATGTGATGTCTATTAGTGGAGAGGGTGCCCAGTACCTGCGTGTTCCACCCGACCCGGGCATTCGAACCGGTGAGGTTGCCGCTCTAGGTACTAGAGTGTCTGCTACCCCAGGTGCGGGTGAGGCTGCTGCTCTAGGTGCTTGAGCGTCTGCGCCCCCTGGTACTGAGTCGACTGCGCCACTGCACACCTTTAAACTGGACTCAGGTGCCTCCCACAGTTTCTTTTGTGAACGCACGGCTCTTGAGCAGCTTGCTCAGCCCGTTGCAGTCTCTCTCGCTGACCCCTCTAGAGGTCAAGTCCTTGCAACCTCCTCCACTGTCCTCCCCTGTCCGGCCGTCCTGTCGGGCACACTGTCCGGTCTCTACCTCCCCTCGTTCTCTACGAACTTGGTGGCGGGTAGTGCGCTCCAGGACAGGGGTGTCCACCAGTTCACCCCTGCCTACGAGCGCGAGACACATTGCACGTGTGCTCGGACGGGCCGTCACCTGGCGACCTTCACACAGCAGCCGGGGTCGGACCTGTACACACTAACTACTGAATCCCCTCAGGTAGCTGCGTCTGCGTCTGCATCAGGCCAGTTGTCGCCCCCCTGCTCGTGTCGCTCTCTGGCGCACGAGACCGTCCTCTGGCACCACCGCCTTGGCCACCCGTCTGTGCAACGCTTTTGGGCAATGCACAAACGGTACCTTGTCTCTGGTCTTTTCAGAGTTCTCCCTCCCCTCCCACCCTCGCCTGCTCCTTCTTGCCTTCCCTGTGTCGAGGGGCGGCAGTGCGCTGCTCCTCACTCCTCCTCGTTTCCCCCGACGAGTGCTCCTATGCAGACGCTCCACATGGACGTGTGGAGCCTCCGGCGGCCGGTCTACGGTCTCCGCCAAGTGCCACGTGAGTGGCAAGACACACTGAGGACTACTCTTGCAGCACTTGGGTTCTCTCCTTCTACTGCTGACCCGTCGCTGTTTCTACGCACCGACACTTCGCTGCCGCCGTTCTACATCCTTGTGTACGTCGACGACTTGGTCTTTGCCAGAGCTGACACTAGGTCTCTCGCCCACGTGGAGTCCGAGCTGCAGAAGAGACACACGTGCACAAACCTGGGTGAACTGCGCAGCTACCTTGGCTTGCAGATCACCCGGGACAGAGCACGCCGCACCATTACCCTGACTCAGTCACACATGGTGCAGAGGTCCTTCAGCGCTTCGGCTTCACCTGGTCCTCAGCACAGGCCACTTCTCTGGCTTTAGGTCACTCGCTCTCAGCTCTGCCTTTGGATGAGTCCGTAGAGTCGAGTGGTCCTTACCCAGAGCTAGTTGGTTGCCTCATGTACCTGATGACTTGCACTCGTCCTGACCTAACATACCCTCTTGGCCTTCTGGCTCGCTACGTGGCTCGTGGTCGTCACCGAAAGGTGCACTGGGATGCTGCAAAGAGGGTATTGCGCTACTTGTGCAGTACATCAGGCATGGGGCTCGTGGTTGGAGGAGGAAGCTTAGTTGTTCTCACTGGGCACTCAGATGCTTCTTGGGTTGACAACCAGGCTACTCAGCGGTCGTCACAGGGTTACACCTTCAGCCTTGGCTCTGGTTCAGTTTCGTGGCGCTCTACTTGTTCGTCTTCAGTTCTTAGCTCCAGTTTTGAGGCTGAGATCTACGCCACAGCCATGGCTGCACAGGAGTTACGCTGGCTCACCTACCAGCTGACCGACCTTGGAGAGCGGCCTAGTTCTCCTCTAGTGCTGTACGTTGACAACAAGACTGCCATTGCCTTGTGTGAGGAGCACAGACCGGAGCACAGAATGAAGCACATTGCTCTCCGCTACTTCCTTGCTCGTGAGCTGCAGCAGCGTGGTCAGCTTCGTCTGCGCTACGTGGCCTCTCAGGCCAACATCGCTGATATATTCACCAATGCACTTCAGCCTGGTGATCATCAGCGCTTCTGTACTTTGTTGGGGCTAGTGCCCACTTTGCCTCACTTGTTGTAGGCTTTGCCTATACTGTGATCTCTATATATACTCCTGCCTATTTGCTCTACTAGGCTAAGATCACCTTTGCTGTCTGTACTACTTATATATACTTCTGCATGTGAACTGGCCTTGTGGCCCTTTGTTTGTGCTTGGAGTGTGTGGTGACATTGTGATCCACCCTGAGCTTGCTTGCCTTTCTTGACTGGTCTTGTGACCCCTTGTTCTCCCACACTTTGCTTATGGGGGTGTGTCAAACACTTTATGTGTTATTATTGTGTGGGCTATAGTGGGTTAGCCTTAAGGGGGTACACAAAGTTAGGGTTTCCTACTTGTACTCCAACTTTCATAGTGCAATCACTTCTTCTTCGTAATAACTTCTTCATCATCGGTGCCACGAGGTGCCTGCTCTCTCGTCTTCTCCATCTGGCATCTGCATCTCTCCTCCATCTCTTTTCAGCATTTGTTAGCCTTGTTCGCTCCTCTTCCTGCACCTGATTGTTGGCTGTTCTTCACTGCTCCTTCTTGGACTTGGCTTATCTCTCTACCCCCCCACTCCTCCCCCCTCCCTTCCCTGTGCACCATTCATGTACCCACGCACTTTGAGTGCCACCAAGAAGGAGAACCTGTGCCAGGAACTCACCCCTCAT